CCTGTATTCTATGTACGGGCATGCTTCTGAATTGGTCCGACTTCGATGGATCTACCTCTGATGGAGTTGGAGTATCACTCCCACCGGCAGAAGAAGATCTGGATGAGTGAATCGTCAAAAAAAAAGCATGATGGAATAAACATTTTTCTGAGTGGCTGAGCTCTGCTGGGTCCTCATGCGAATTTTGAGGGGTTGTAAATGAGAGCCTCAGGCACTTCGTGATAGTTATTCAATGTTGAGTCTGGGAAAGCGAATTGAGGATGACAAGGCCGTCCCATCGCGAGAGCCGTCGCAAGTTTCCGAGTAAGTCTCGAAGAAATCGGGGTTCAGAAAAGCTGTCCGTGACTGTCCCTTGGTAGCTACAGCATCTGTGGGGCTAAGAGGAGTACTGAAGCTGAAATCTTTCAATAAATAACTCACTTAATTATTTTCCTATCTGTTTGTGACGTGGTGAAAAACTAGTTCAGAGCCGTTTTCACGTCCTCTAAATCGATAGTGTCTCTGACACTAGCTGCCGGCGTGTTTTTTGTTTCCACCTCGGGAAAACTGCGACGGAGGCTCATGAAATGCTCGGCAGAGCTTACGGTGAACGAGCCCTTAGTCGCGCTCAAACATTCCGATGGTTCCTGAGATTTGGGAATGGGAATTTCACTGCCGAAACAAGAGAAGGTGGGAAACCTCCACAGAAATTCGAGGACGTCGATCTGCAAGCATTACTAGACGAGGATGATACTCAGACGCAAGCGGAGCTTGCCGAGAGACTTGGCGTTAATCAATCGACGATCTCCGGACGGCTCCACGAAATGGGGAAAATCCAAAAGCTGTCTAGATGGGTTCCTCATGAATTGACGGAAAGACAACAAGAGGCCCGTGAGACAATCAGCAAAATCCTTCTCGATAGATTCAAAAGGAAATCATTTCTGCATCGCGTCGTCACTAGCGACGAGGAATGGATATATTTTGAAAATCCGAAGCGCCAGAAATCGTGGGTGAACCCTGGGGAAGCACCTTCGAGCACCGTGAGGCCGAACCGCTTCGGGAGAAAAGCAATGCTGTGCGTTTGGTGGGACCAGCGTGGAGTTATTTACTTCGAGCTTCTGAAGCCCGGCCAAACAGTCGACAGCGATCGTTACATCCAGCAATTGACGAATTTGTACTATGCCATGCGTCACATCCGTCCCGAAAGGTCATGGCGCGAGAGAGCAATCTTGTTGCACGACAACGCACCCTGCCACACTTCTAGCGACGTCTCGCGGGCTATCGAAAGCCTGAACTGGGAAGTGCTACCCCATCCCGCTTACTCCCCAGACCGGGCCCCGTCCGACTACCACCCGTTCGCAGCAATGGGTCACGCTCTTTCAGAGCAGAAGTTCGAGACCTACGGAATTGTTCAAAATTGGGTGACCAATTTTTTCGCCTCAAAATCTCTAGAATTTTATTGGCGCGGAATCCATCGATTGCCTGAGAGATGGGCGTCGTGTAATCCTTATAACGGACAGTTTGGGCTGGTCCCTTGGAGTCCGTTATAACGAGGTTCTACTGTAGTTGCGTTCATTGTTATCATTCGAGCGCGGCTGACAACGATACGCGCTTCATCTTACAATGTGTCTGCGACGTGTCACCCTCCTGTGAAGTCGCCAAGTCATTTCCATCGAACTGACCATTGTGAGTTGAGCAAGTACCAGATATCCACTGTTTCACAGAAGGCCTTCGTAGATGAATGTTCAAGCAGTCGAATCGACAAAGGGTCGATCTCTTTATCGAGCGAATGGATTCCTCTATGAGCTCGAGGAGAAAATCCTCGAGAAGCTGTACTGTCGATGCGTTCAGAAAAGATGGCGAAATTGTGGCGCCAGGAGCATTCTCTGCAAGGTGAGATTTTTTCATCTTGTTATGAAGAGTACAGCTCTTTAAGCAGTTCTTATTGCGATGATGTGGCTCTCCTATGCGTTCATCTCTCTTATGCACAGGCACCGGAGCCCACCATAGTCAGACTCTCAGGCGCGCACAATCACGAACCGGACGACGAGAAATTCTTGAGACTGTCAGCGGTAGCGAAAATGAAAAAAGTCGTCGTTGATCAGCCAGATCGAGGAGTGAAGGAGGTCTACGCAGAATCTCTAATCTCGGTGGTATCGGAGTTGCGAGATGACTTCAACGATGAGGAAATCGGACTTTCTGTGCCGATTTTCGCATCCGTGCGTCGCAAGCGTGGCTCTATAAGGCCACGTCTCCCGATGAGCAGGAGCGACATCGAACTCGACGACGTTTGGACGAAGACTCTCGATGGCGAACCCTTCCTGCTCATTGACGACGGCGGGGAAGATCGAATTCTTGGTTTCTCAACTAGAGAGATGATTTTCGCTCTGTGTGAAGCGGAAACTGTCTTCATGGATGGCACTTTTCGAGTAGTTCCTGAACTGTTCCTACAACTCTATAGCTTACACGCTTTCTACAGAGGCCAGATGGTTCCTCTGGCCTTTTTCTTGCTACCGGACAAACGGAAGGACACCTATCGGCGCATGTTCGTGCTATTGAAGAATTACGCCGCGTCGATTGGCAGATCCTTCGATCCCAGGAGCTTCCGATTGGACTTCGAAACAGCCGTTGTCCGAGTGATCGACGAAATGTTTCCCTCAGCCGAGGCGAAGGGCTGCCTATTCCATTTTGGTCAGGCATTGTGGAGAAAAGCTCAAGCTCTGGGGTTGAGTTGCTTCAATGAGGATGCCGAGGTTAAACGCTTCCTGCGATGTGTGAAGGCAATGGCTCTCGTACCTGTGATCCATCTTGATGACGTCTGGCTCGAAATCAACGCACAATCTCCAGAAATAACTCATCCCGCGTATCCGGCCGTGGAGCGCTTCAAAGAGTATTTCATCCATACTTGGCTACAGAATGAGACAATCTTCCCGCGCTCGCTTTGGAACCACTATCGAAATTTCGGAGCACGCACAACCAATCATTTAGAGGCCTGGCACAGAGGTTTGAATGCGCTCATCCGAAAAATGCATGTTAATGTTTTCCAAATGGTCAAGCGACTCCAGCATCAAGAACGAAAGTATAAGATTCTCATGCTACAACTAAGGATGGGCCAAGCACCTTCCCCGCCTACCAAAAAGTATCAAAACCTGCATGAAAACCTGATGAAATTCGTCGACCAGAATGAATCAAGCGAAATTTCCCTGATGCAGTATGTGACCGCAGTGGCTTTCAACTTGCACGCTGATTCTCCAACGAGCAGTGGCTCTTGAGGATGCCTCATAATCCTTCCGTTCAATGCCATCCTTTCGGTACCGATGATTACACATGATTCCGATGGAAGGATTCCAGAACCATCTGAGTTCTTCGAGCTTACAACGCTCAGTACGGTATGCTTGAATCTGCGCGAGAGAGAACTTTTTCTGTTTTGACCTAATTATTTGATGTAAGATAAAAGTGGGGATGTCATAGGTACCAAAACATGGCCGAAGACACAGTTGATGGGGTGTGAGGAAGACAATGGATGCTAGATTGCCATCAGTGAACTGGCTAATTCGCGATCAGTAGACTCGAAAACTGGTCTCGAGAGCCTAATAAACTTCCCTCAACCCCGTCTACGGAATGCCCTTCCCTTGAATGTCTTCTCTCCCAAATACGATGCCAAGATCTTCAAAGTCAACACTATCCGTTCTCCCTCTACTGGTAGAAAGGGAGAACGGTCCCTTAGAAGGCCTTAGGTTTTTCTTCACGGAGGGGTGGGTGATGATTGGGTCTTCTGTACATGAGTCCCACACTCCAGATGATCTTTCAGCTCATCTGGGTCGTGCGCCAATGCATTTTTCTTCCCCCTATGGCTCCCCTGCCTTTTCCTCATATTCCCTTCAGTCAAGCCGTCTTCCGCAGTCGCCGTTTCCTCTGAGAACCATAAGGTCGTCCCTCTGCGAGGTGCTCTGACGAACAGAATTTGAGGACGAAAAAAGCAAATTGTTCTCATGAGGCATTTCTGATTATGTATGCCGACAACCGTCAGAATCGTACGACCATCAGCAGTTGGACGTACGAAGACTTGGGGTACCCGATGGATTCATGCTGCAAGGGTCTTACAATTCGAGAAACAATGAGACGGGTTGAACCTTCTGTCACGAGTCACGAGGACGTATTCTGTTCGAGATCGAAGCGCGGGAGTGTTGGGGCATTCCGGCATCTCGGATTCTGGTACCTGAGATTCCGGCACGCAGAATTCAGGCATCCGGGATTCCGGCAAACGAAATTCGGGCATCCGAGTTTCCGGTAAGGAGAATTCAGGCATCCGAGATTCCGGCGGATGAAATTCGGCCATCCGAGACCCCGGCGAATGTAATTCAGGCATCCGAAATTCAGGCAAATGTAATTCAGGCATCCGAGATTCCGGCAGACGAAAATCGGGCATTTGAGATTCCGGCAAGCACAATCCAGGCATCCGGGATTCCGGCAAATGAAATTCGGGAACACGGTACCCAGCCCCGCTCTAAACGTCTCGCAATGAAGGATGCGTTCATCCGTCATGGAGTAAGGTGTTCGAATTCGCTCGGCAGGAGGTTTATTTCCCGAAAAAGTGCCACTCTGGCCAAAATATGGCTCTAACGTTCACCAAGGAACAGATGGCTCAACTAAGTGAAGTTCTAGATGCGAATCTAGACCAAAAGCTTCAGTCATTGGAGAACAGAGTGTGTAAACAGTTCGGCGTGCATGTCGACGGGCTCGTGAAACCGATCAAATAAAATATCAAGACCCTACAGGAAGACAACGGGATTCTGCGCGCCAGATTAAATATGTTGGAGACTCAGGTCAGGTGGAACTACATCGAAATCGTGAACTATCCTCTGAACCGCCCGCTGGAGCCGTCGGAAATTCTACAGCGCATGTGCGAAAGAATATCGACTGGCTTCACGAACGAAGCCCTCATCTCCACGAACTTCGTTGATAGACCGAAGTCAACAAATGTAGTGGAGACTCGCAACATCGTCGCCGAATCCTCGAACCCCTCACAAGCAGAGCGTTTCACCGAATGCGCTCAGGTCCTGAGTGAATCGAAGAATGGATTCATGGCGTTATGTGTGCTCCAAGAGCGCCCACGCGAGAATCGGCGTCTTCAGGCAGCTTCCTCATGAACTCATGCACTTCAGATGGTCAGCCATGAAACGCAAAGAGGAACTAAAGTACGGCTTTTGTTGGATAAACAAAGCGGGTGAACTCATGATGAAAAAATCGGAGAAGTCGAAACCGGTATGGATAAGGTCTGAGCTCGACCTGGAAAGACTCAATTAATTCTGGCACAATGTTAGGTGTTCCCAGTCAGGATATCCTGGCACAGAGATGTTATTCTTATTTACATTTCCGGGGGAATTACTCCCGACGCCGGGCAGGTTACTCAAACAGTTTCTGGTACGGCCTGGGGGGGGGTATGCTAGTGTCACGGGCACGCAAATTAATATTGAACTCATTAACATTCGAAGTATGTTTCAAAAGTTCCATAACCTCATGGCTTCTCTGGCAGGCAATGATACGGATGTCAACATATTCACTGAAACCTCGCTCTTCCCAGAGCGTGGGAATCTCTACAAGATAGCGGGCTTCAGAGCCTTCTTCACTTCAGATGCATCATATAGAGCGGGGGAAGATGCAGTATTCGTGAGGGATAGCTTCCCCTGCTTCAATATTAAACGGAGATTACCCTGGAGTGTGACTGCCTGATAGTCCAGTTGTTGATAGCTAAGAGCCATACAATCGGATTGCATATCTTTACAGATCTCCCTCTTCGCCACCTCGACAGCTTCGAGCTTCGCGACCATGTGAGTCAGAAACATTCTGTCGTACATGGCTAGAGACGCTGACTGCCTCCTCATGGGTGACATGAATCTTCGCCTCTTGAACGAAGATAGAAATGCCGCCTGCTACGTGGAGGAATGCTCGATCGCAGAATTGATGAATGCCAATGAGTCGGTGCCAACAAGAATGTAGGAGCGCGAGCCTAATTGACCACGTTTTCTACCGCGCCAGATGTGGATACGATTCTCGAGGCAATGTCCCCGATTCGGAGGGAGTGAGCGACCACTGCATGGTTGAGCTACAGTTCACCATTGGCGCCCCGACTAAAAGCAAGAGACTAACAGAAGTGAAGAGGGTAGACTTCGATCCCATTAAAACCTCCCTGCTTGAGATAGATTGGACGAAAGCTCTAGGTGGTATGTCGACTGACGAGATGGCAGACAGCGTCTGCGCTGAATGCCTGTCTACCATTGAGGAATGCACTTCGACCATCACGATGAGCAGAAGATTTCTGCCGGTCAAGGAATTGGTCACGCCTGGTCTGGTTAGATCCATCAGAAAGCGAAAGAAACTTTACAAAAGGTTGAGGATACACCTGACCGTGGCCGCGAGGATCGAGTATGAGTCGTACAAGAAGGTCCTGTCCCGATTGATAAGGAAAGTCAAGAATGAGTTCTTCAAAAAAGAATTGGACGACACAGCTGTTGATCCGAGGAGAACATGGAGAGTGATCACCGCCTTCTTCAGAGGCAATGAGGGGGGACGGCACTTGAATACGGAGATGGTGCGAACGACGGCTAACGACATCAATAGTCATTTCGCTGAGATTTGCCCAGAGTCGGTGAGGTTCTTCGTTGGTATCGCGTCGTTGACCCCTACGCTGACCTCCCTGCACGTGTAGGCTCTTCTTCAACAGACTTCCAGGTCCCATCGGAGCTTGAGGTGTGCGGGATTGTGGCTAATACGAGCGGGAACAAGGCCTGTGGTTTAGATGTTAACCTTCGCGTCTCCTGAAGATCTGCGGCGAACATCTCGCTGACCCAATGCTAATGTTGATCAGAAAAATCTTTGACTCGGCTCAATTCCCGAGATGTTTCAAGCGAGCTCATCTGTTCCCCATACATAAATCGGGGCCCCTGTCTGACATCCTCAATTATCGGCCGATTTCCCTACTTCCAGTACTCAGAGAGGGTGTTGAGAAGGTCATCGCCAGCCAACTTTCGGATTATCTGGCGATCAACGGCCTGCTCGATGACGAGCAGTTTGGATTCAGGAGGAACCGGAGCTGCGAGGATGCCGCTCGCTTGCTGGCGGAGCATACGACCTCCGCGAGGGAAAAAGATGTAATGAGTATCGCCATAGTCTGTGATCTGAGTCGAGCCTTCGATACTGTCAATATTGAAAGGCTGATTAACAAACTCGAGACGCTTGGCGTCAGAGGAGGCGCTCCACGGCTGTTCAGATCCTACCTCGATGCTCGTGAGCAGTTCTTCAGATCAGACAACTTTCTCAGTGAATCCGCACCTCTAACCTGTGGAGTACCCCAAGGAAGCATTCTCGGTTTTCTTATCTTCATATGCTACATGAATGATCTCTTCAACAATGGTCTGGTGGCTAGCGAGGTGAAAACCATAGTCTTTGCGAATGATACGGTTCTTCTATTTGAGGGCTCGGACATTCATCAACTATACCTCGAAGCGTCATACGGTATCTCAAAAGTTCTTAACTGGATGAACACAAATGGCCTCCTTCTCAACATCAAGAAGACGAAATTCATGCGTCTCGGAGGCGGCGGAAGGCCCGTCCTCTCGGAACGTCCTCTCGAGACCATAGTCCATCGGCGAGTTTGTCCGAGGCAGAATTGCGCCTGTCCCCGGCTCGGAAAAGTAGGCAGCTACAAATAACCGGGTCTAATGATCCACGATGATGGAAAGTTCGAAGAACACATCGCCGCAACGTGCTCCGAAATGAGATCGAGGGCTGCCATACTCGAAAGGATGCGATACGTTTGCTCAATGTCACTGAGAAGGCAGGTGTTCTCCGCCTTGGTGGAAACCCATCTGAGATACATGATAACTGTCTATGGAGGAACTTCCAAGACCACCCTCGATCCCCTGATTAGACTGCAAAAAAGAGCGCTGAGATGCGTATGTGCGGCTCCGAGGAACGCGCCGTCGGCTCCTCGGTTCAAAAAAGCGCGAATCATGAACTTCATGCAGCTGTATGCGACTAGTCTTATAGGATCCCTGTACCCCATGGTTGGCTCGTTCCGAAGACCCTCACACTCCTACAACACCTGCTCAAGGACCCAGGGAAATCTCTCTGTCCCGCTCTCCTCCAGAGGACTGAGAAGATGTTCAGCCCACACGAACTTCGTCATACTGTTCAATGCCCCACCGCCCGATCTGAAACAGTGTATCTCACGCAATAAGCGGAAGGTCACGAAGAAAATCAAAGTCGCCTTCCTAGAGGAGGAACCCTGTAACCTAGACGTAATCTCCGAATAGACGTAATCTTCGAAAAAGTGAATTCGAGCCGCGGCACTGCCCCTCCCCCAGGCCTCATGTAGACACTGCCCGGACGAATGCATTTCCGATGTGACCTTGCCACAGACCCCGTGGTCTAATGCAGGCATCCACTATTGAACTTGGTTTGTTAATGAATAGCTCTTCAGCAATTTAAAAAAAATTGCCGCTGCAGGTTTGAAATGCCGCGATTTGTCTTATTGATGTATTCAACGACATACGAAGCGCAGCTACATTCTTCGAGGATGAATTGTAGGTCCATATTGGAACCTATCATTATCATGATCCTGGGATTGAATGTATTGATCCAGATTTCCTCCAGATTCCGTTTGAAAATGATTGTCGGTCGCTTGATGGCGGTCATATTCGGTCTCCTCCGGAGCTATCTTCATTGCTCGCGCCTTCCTGCGGAGCTGTTCTCTTCGTCCGTCATCTTCGGCCATCGGCAAGAGTATCCGGGTTACAGAAGACGGCCAACATGGTATGTTGAATCGGCTGATCGCTCTCTTATGACTGGTATGGTTCGCATTCTTATAGCACGTGAAGGTGTGTTTATGAATTTGAAGAGCTGCGTGATCTGAATTGATCGCCTGCTGGGTATCGACCGAGCATAATCGATTGATGAGTTCTAGGGTTCTCGGCATTTCTTCTGAAACTTCCCCTTGGGATTCTGATCCAACCATAGCAGTGCATGCATATGGGGGCTCCCTCTGTGTTGAAATTCTATTCTCAAAAAGGAACCAATGATCCGGTTTTGTCCGAGGGGACTGAGTCGATCTGATTGTGAAATTCGCATTAACGAATTCATCATTTTCCTAAAGTACACGCAACAAGTGACGGAGCCTTCATTCACGCGCTGTGCCCTGACTGCAGCCGATAACTGAGAAATTGGATCCTCGATCTCGATCGAATCTTCGTTCTGGAGCTTTCGCTATATTCGTAGAAGATGGGGCCATCTAACCTCGTTGGCGCTCATGGTTAGAAAGAACGTGGGTTTGCCCAATTGACGGATAATGGAAAACAAATCTTCTTTCCCACCGGCCCAACATTGGACCGAATCGGGAATGGACCTTAGGAAAGCGAAGTTGTGGTCAAGACAGTGCTCTAGGAAGTGAGCGTCTTCGAGCATTGCTCGGGTGATCCTCCTTTGATCTGAAGTATTCCGATACGTCGCGTAAAGCCCCTTAGCGATTCTTCGTTTCATGATTTTCGCTGCGACATACAGGAGGTGTTCAGGAGTTGCTCCTCGCCGATCGCGTCGCCGAATTTCACTAATTGCGATTCGGAAGGCCGTCACAGCCACACCTTGTCTGAAAGTCTTTGGCATGCCATAGTATATTGCAGGGAACGACAGCTCTTCTGCGTGTTCATCATATAATAGAGTGAGAGGCGTTTTCTTCTGACCCGGTGCAATGACTAGATATTGATCTTTGTTCCTAAGCAAGGGTTGTTAAGTAGCCTGAAGCATTTCGGCATCATTTTCGGTGTCGGCAGCATCGAGTTCTTCTTCCTCGTTGTCTGTATTGTCTGGAGGAAATCCAGTCCAATCGACTTTGATGTTACACCTCTTGTACAGAGGCGTCGTTTGGAGGAAATCTAACCAGGCTTTGAGGTCCGCTCTCCTAACTTTTCCTGAGTGTGCTGTGCTTTCATGGATGGTTTGTTCCTTCAAAGATACATTCAGAGCATAATCATCTGCCAGACTCCGCGGCAAATTCGATACCATTTCTTGGACATCGACAGGTACATTGATTATTATCTGACCGACAACTCTGTAAGCTCCGGCTCCTTGGCGCAATCGTCGTATCTGCATGAAAGGTATCCGAGGGCTGATGAGGCGCGTGGATATCGCATTCAGTTGTGGGAGATTGTCGGGTTCTATTGGATAGCAAAGTTCGTTGTATACCGCCAACGATGGCACTTTGCCTCCACTAATTGATTTCGCGCAAGCGTAACACAATTTGGCATCCGTCGTGATACGATTCCTTCCCTCAAGTTTTGTGAAATGCACCGACGTAGCTGATTGGAGGTCGTTACGGAACCAGAGACGATCGCACACCGTACATGCGTGCCGGTATTCTTGGTCGAGGATTTTTTTTCTGAATTCCAGTGTTGCTGGTGATTGCTCATACCAATTCAATGGTTGTGCGTTTGCTGGATTCTCCGACTCTGAATGAGCGATCCGGAGTCGTTGACGATATTCTCGAGTGCGAAATGACCCTGAGGACGGCGGACCCGCCGGGGTTGATGAATTCCGGTTGAGAACTTCCGCGGTTTTCTTCCGCTACCGATATATGTAGACGTTTTCTTTCACGAGAGGATTTAGCTCCATTCTCCTGCTGATGAGGTGCTTCTGATTCTTGCTGCATCGGTTTCTTGTTCGTCAGGATTCGAACTAGATGTTCGAAGAGATTCCATGACGGGGAGGTCCTTTGAGCGACGGTGTCTCACATTGGAGGGATGCATTCCGCTTATTTCACATTCACAGATATCATGAAATTCGGAGCCGAAAACGACAACGCCGAGCAGCCGATCCGCTGGCTAAACGGCGCCGGCGGCGCGGCGGCTCCTCGTAGGGCGCAGGCAAGAGATTTAACCCTAACTCACAACCGTCGTGAGAACAACGTGCTATCGATAGTTTGAGCGATTAAGACTCGGATTGATTTTCGGAGATCGATTGGTAAGGATGACGACCCGAAGTGCATCTGGGCCACAGATTTCTGGAAAAACAGGGATCCGGAAACGGAATCGCATTCCGAGTGAAGCAGTGAAAAAAGAGCCATTTCGACGCGCTACGGTGAAATCAATGACGGGAAGAGTTCCTGAACGAGCTGAGCTGCCACGTAAGTCGAAGATAACCAACCTACGCCTTCGTTCGGGTAACCGAATCGGAACTGGAGAAGTGGTTTCTGGACAATCCGGAAAGAGAGAGCGAAGTCGTTGCCGGAAAGAAGTTGGCGGGAAGAAAACGTCAAAAAACGTTTCGATCAAAGCTATGGCGGGACTATGTCCCGAGCAGTCAGGGCTCTCGTCTGGGTCGGGAACGAGCGACAGTCGACTGGTCCCGGAGATTCGATCTAAAATCGGGGGACAGAAACAGGCTTCCACACGGGTTGTGAATCGGAAACGAAAATTCCTTCCACGTGGGGACGTTGTGGGGGAATCGTCGCAGCGTGCCCAGTTGGAATCTGGGGCGAGCCGAGTTCCCGATCAGGCTGACCTCCTCTCTGGGTCAAGAATGGAAAATACTCAGTCAGTGTGACGTACGGCCAGGCCGTAGCGCATTCATCCTATATGAATTGTTGCACATATCAAGGATTTCTCACGTTTATGAGTGACGCCATATTGATTTCTCTAGTCAGTAGAGATTAGAAGCGTACTCCACGCGCGGCATCAATGGCCAGACTCTGATTAGTGAAGAGCGGTTCAATCCCGCTTCGAACTCCCATTCAGTTGCGTGGCGGTAAGGCCGTATCACTACGTCCTACCCCGATCGCGCTCGCTTCTTGTGCCGACTCTCAGTGATATAAACTCTGTGTCATCATTCAAGTATAAATTCAGGATCGGTACGTCATACTCAGCAAAGTCGGTAGAGAGCACGGTTGGAGAGACCAAGCGGAGCTGCACCGGCACCGACGCGTTAGCAACACTAAAAGTCGTCGAACTGCTCGCACAATGCGTTGTCAGAGAGCTCCATCTCGGAGAGTTCCGACGAATATCGCGGAAGTCGAAAAAACCCATCTGGGAAAGGAACTCGGGAGCGAATCATGGGAGACGAAATCAGTGTCATTCGCGGAATCCAAGGTTGTGATTTCGAAAGATCGCCTTTGGTAGCGGCATGGGTCCACCTGATTTCTGAAGATGAAGAGGAAGAAGCTCCAGGAAGAACCCGCCCGTATTTGAAAACTGCAGGGTCCTCCCGAGGCGCTTGGGAGAGCTCGATGAAAACCCGAAGTAGATCTGGGCAAGAGGTATCTGGAAAAGTGGGGAACCGAAAACGGAATCCCCTTACAGTGAAGAAGTGGAAAAGGGGACATCCCAGCGTGATACGGGGAAACCGATTAAATTGCTTTTATTGCCGACTCGGCGTATTTGACTAGTAGCAAGCTAAATGTGCAGTATCACAGTGTCACGTTCTAGTCCAATCGAAATTCACCCTAGCTTCGCATCCGTATAGGTGGTAATCCCCGCATGATCGTCCGCATAAAGAGCATAGGCATTGCTCGCTCACGTCGTGGTAATGAGGTCTGATGCAGATGAGGTGGTGGAAGCCGTGGATCGACCCTCTCGTAATCCTGTGACGGTTCTTGAATTTCGGTTCCTTCCAATGCTCAGTGGTCATCGCCGGGGTCTCGTAGAACATATAAGGGATGGATTCCATCTTGATGGACCATGCCTCACAGTGTAGCTCGAAGGCTGGCGTTCGGGGACGGTTGAAATTCGCTCTGATTTCTTCGACGAAGAGAGGAGTGTTTGTCATATTGTACACCAACCTATTTCTGCTTGTGCGATGAACTCCGAGCATGCCTTTCAGAAACTGTGTGTTAAGATTTAAGCGTCCCGCCAATATCCCCCCTATATAATAAAACAGTAAGCTCCCGACTCGCCGTAACATTTATCGGTGCCTATTCCTGCTCGCTCCCACTCAAAATTACACTGACAAGATGCGGAGCCGCCTGAAGGAGTGTAAGATGTAGTTTTCGGAATGTTTGATCATGTTCTTATCCGAGAAAATCACCTTTTTCCACCCCGGTCCGAGTGGTGTTGTTCGTCACGGCCCTCTCCACTAACTCTCTCCACCAAGCAGTTCGCCGAGTACCATCCCGCTGCCCAAG